AAGCCCAAGATGCACCAAAAGGCACCGCCAGCAAACAAGACTCCAGGAATTGATGTAATACAAATTGAACTGTTAACAATAAACTGATGCAGCACTGAAGGTTCTCACTCAACTAAGAAACTTGAAAGACAGCTACCTGCCCATTCCAAAGAAAGGTAACACAACAGTGTGCAGAAACCATCAAACAATATCATTATTAACACAAGTAAATATAATTTTACTGAAGACAATTATCATTCAAAAATGGTTGCAACAGTATATCAACAGGAAGCTGCCAGACATTCAAGCTGGATTCAGAAGACATGGAATGAAGGATATCATTCTTAAAATCAGATGGATCTTGCCTGGAAGCGGAGAATACCAGAAAGATGTTTACTTGTACTTTATTGACTATGCAAAGGCATTTGACTGTGTGAATCAAACAAACAAGCCATAGTATTTTTAATCACCTCAAATGCATATGAAAGTAGAATAAAGAAACCCATAGAAGAATCGATGAATTTGAATTATGGTGTTGAAGAATACTGAGTACTATGAACTGCCAGAAGAGCAAACCAGACACAGGGGGTCCTAGGACCATCAAGGGAGGAGAGCACAAACAGAGTGCGGGACCTTGTCCAGAGAAAGCAGCGACACCTGTGATGGAGGCAGAGATGGGGACATGGAGAGGGTGAGTGGCTGAGGACTCCAGATTCATGGGAAGAAAGGGACTGAGAGCTAGTGGTCAGGAGGCAGACTTGCAGAACGTGCTCTTTGGAGGTGTAAATTATTATATATTGCCTGAGTGGTTTTTTTAAAAAAGAGCTAAAGTGAGAAATACTTTTAACTGATGGTACATGGAGGGGATTATAATTTTAATGAAACAAGGTATGTGATTTGTTAAAAGTAAAACTGATGATCTGCCCTGTAAACTTTCACTCAATCTATAATGAAAACCTTAAAATCGGGGGGATGGGGGATAGAGGTAAATACTGTTGACTGTTGGTACATGGAGGGGATTGTAATAATTGCAATGAAGCAAAATAAGATTTTGGAATGTAAAACTGATAATCTGCCCAGCAAATTTTAACGCAATTCACAATTAAAACTTCTTTAAATATTGGGGGAAAAAAACACTATGGAGCAAAGTTCTAGTCTGAAGTCAACCATGTATCGGAAGCAAGTCATTGGCAAGTGGGCGCGTTTAAACAGAATCTCAACCTGTTTCCTCATTTTTTAGCCTCTTTCTAAACACATCTTTTTAAATTCTATTTTGTTGCTGATGAAAATACACATGGCAAAACAGAAGCCTTTTCTAAATGTGCACTTTAGTGACACTGATTTGCCTTCAAGCTGTGCAACCAATCTCAGCCCCTTTTCTTGTTTTCCCTCATTAACATCAACTCGCTGCCCCCTAAGGTTTCTAGCCACTCTGCTATCAGAGCTCCTGTCCCTCTCCTTGTTAAATGCTATCAAGGTGGTTCTTAGGCATAGCAACCTCGTACTGGGTTTCTGAGAAGCAGAAGGTGAGTTTGAACTGCCAGTCTTGTAGTTCAAATCGACCTTGCAGCCCAGTGCTTATCAATAACCACAGCGCTACACCAGGCCTCTTTCTTTCTCCTTGTTGTAGTTAGGTGCCATCAAGTCAGTACCGACTCATAGTAACCTTATGCACAGCAGAAGTTAACACTGCCCAATCCTGGGCCAATCTCACTACTGTTGCCACACTTAAATCCATAGATGCTGCCACTTAGCCAATCTATCTTGTTGGGGGTTTTCCTCTTTTGCTCTGACCCTCCACCTTACCAAATATGATATCCTTCTCCAGCGAATGGTCCCTCCTGACAATATGTCCAAAGTATGAGAGATGAAGTTTAGCCATCCTGGCCTCTAAGGAGCACTCTGGCTGCACTTCTTCCAACACAGATCTGTTTGTTCTTTTGGCAGCCCATGGCACTTTCAATATTCTCCTCCAACACCGTAACTGAAAAGCATCAATTCTTCTATGGTCTTCTTTATTCCTTCTAGTCTTCCTTCTCCTTGTTGTTGTTAAATGCCGTGGAGTCGGTTCTGACCCATAGCCACCCTGTATAGGGTTTCCGAGGGTGTAAATCTTTACAGGAGTAGAAAGCCTCATCTTTCTCCCACGGACTGGCTGGTAGTTTTAAACCGTTGACCTTAAGGTTTGCAGCCCGATTCATAACCACTACACTACCAGAGCTCCTTCTCCTTAGAGGCAACCAATTGCAACCCTTTCAATTATTTACCTTGCTGTCTCTAAATAATGTGTTTTCTGGTTAGACATCTATCACGCTAACAGAAATGATTGGCATTTCTTTCTCACATTAATCCTTTGCATCTACTCTTGCACCCTTCTTTCTTCTCATCCATGCTGTATTTATTTTATGAAAATGCAATACTTTAATTTTATGACTGCACCACCCATCTGTCAAGTTTGTCCTAATGTTGTGGTTTGCAAATGGCTGATACAGAAAGCTACATCACCAAAGTGCCACATATAGATTTTATAAGAGCTTTCACACTAAGATAGACTAGGAAAAAATGCCTGACAAACTACCTCTCAAAATTAGTCAAGGAAAACCCTATGGGTCATAAAATACTGCCAGAGCCTCCAACTCATTTACTTAAGGACACCTCATCAGGAGGGGCTGTTCGCTGCAGGGCATCATGTTTGGTAAAGTGGAGGACCAGTGAAGGTGAAGGAAACCCTCTATTAACCCAGATTCATACAATCAACTCAAAAAAGGGCAAGACTCATGAAGAGGAGACATTTCATTATGTTAAACACAAGGCTGTTAAGAGTTTCTTCCCTGCTGCACTGTTGTAACTGCTCTTTAGGGTCTCTAACATACCTGTATCATCAGTCATTCTTTCCTAGGCTTAAAAATAAGCTCACATATGAGGGCTTTGGGTCATGGTTTCCTGGGACATCCCAGCCAACTGGCCCACTAACATGTTTATTGTTTCCCTTCTACCTCCTAGGTTATTGTGTAGTGCTTGGGGTCTTATTGTTTGCAAGCAGTCAAAGAAACAGTTGGTTTCTCTGCTCCTGAAACAGAGGAGGAGAAAGAAGGGATAGGAATGGCTTCCTTAGCATAAACCAGAAAGTAGGGATTTATATAAAGATTCAAACTTGCCATACAGAAAGAAAAAAAATCACTTAGTCTAACTTTATTTCAATGCTTGAAAATATTGACTGATTATAGATTATTACTATAATTTCGTACAATAATTAATGTTAAGTTTTTTAAAATGTAAATGTAATACTATAAACTAACCCCTGAACAGTACACTAAGATTTTCAAAAGCAATGGTTATTTATTGAAATGCAAGGAGACAATGTAACAAAGAACTTTCACTTATGTGACACAATGAGCAGCAAACTATTCAGTCAAAACAAACACAAATCTGTTTTTACATATTATGTTTGCTTTTAGCTTTGCTTTATAAACTCATTGATATTTGAGGCATCTTTGTTTCAAGTACTGGATTTCTAATATTACATTTTCTGAAAATTCTTAAATTTATCCATGTTTTCCCCTAGTCTAACATGTGTTGACATTTTCTATATACTTCATAAACAAGTTTATTAAAGTCAATTCTAATCCGTATGCTGATTAACTGACAACAGATTGATAAATTATCGCCTTTAAAACTGCCTTCTATATACTGCTTCTGTCCCTTACACACCAAAATCTGATGCTAATGTAAATGATAATATATAGTAGGAGCCCAAAACAATCTGTAATCTTAAATTATTAAATCTAAAATATTTTAAATTTCTGTCACTATAAACAAGATTCAAGTGGCTAAAATATCATACAGTTAGGAGGAAAAATGTATAAAATTATGATTATTTATAATTTTATTATTTATGCCTTTTGTTTATGTCACAAGTACTATTTAGACTGGCATGAAATTACAATGTTATAGCTGTGTATGTGTTTAGAATCGCACAGGACTGTTACATTAAAAATAAACTAAATCATAATTTCATATTTTAATTGACTCAAATAATTTCCTGAGCAGGGAAGGGGCATCCATTTTGTGTTAAGAAATAATACATATAAATGAATTCCTTTGTTCATTTAAATATTGAGGAAACCTATATATAATACATATAAATGAATTCCTTTGTTCATTTAAATATTGAGGTTCCCTTCAGGCTCCTCAAAATGTAATACATATCTACATGACAATCACTGTCCACACTAAAAGGACAAGCTGTCACAAATCCAATCTTTTGTGAGTATACAGTTGTAAGATATTATAAATAGACATAAACTGATACTGGTAATAACTTAAAGGAAAAAAGATCAAGAAAAATGTTGAAGAATGTCTACTTTTAAAAAGGAAAGAGGTGTTGCCAACACAAAGTGAGACCTATAGATCAAGATTCATTTTTGGTTTAAATAATCAACATGAAAGGAGGAGGAAGTCAAAAGCCCTTAGAATTACGACAGCTTTATAAAAAAATGTTAAAAGAGTTCAATGATTTGAACTTAATGAAGGAAACGACTAATTAAATGTACAATTTCAAAAGTACAAATAAGGACTTCTCCCCACAGGGTTATAATGAACTACTAAGGCTGTTTTCAGTGCATTGCTTCTGTAAACCCTCTCTGTAAAGCAGCACATGCTGTACCCGTGCTGGGATTTAACCATGAGAATTACCCTTCTTATTTCAAACTAGTGATTTGTCCTTGCATCCATACTTATACACATGTATTTTCATCCTAAGAACATAAACCCTTTCTAGTGGTACAATTTGAAAAGATTTGAGTTTCCATTAATATAATAAAGAAACTTGATTTTTAAAATGTATCTGTTTAGTATGTGGCATGATGGGTTTAAACAGTTGAAGCATAATGGAGTAACAACATTGCATGGTTTAATTCACAGCTGTAGGAAAATGATTTAAAAAAACAACCCAAGGTGATTCTGCATAGTTATTAACAGTGAAATACTAGAAAACAGTGAATGAATACATAAGATGATTTTCAGTGGTGGTCATTCAGTATTTTGCTTTTGGGAGCCTGGAAGAAACTGTCTTCTTTGAGATTCAAATGTTCTGGTAAATCTAGCTGTTTCTTAGCTTCCTCAATATCACCCTGAATGGCTGAAATAAGTGACTCTGCAGAGAAAACAACAAATAAAGAGAACTTAGTCACGGTCCAAAAGAAAAACGTGCACTATTCAAAGTGAAATCTTACGAAGAAGACAAACACATAAGTGAGCATTAATTACATTCAACTTGCTATGAGAAATACATTAATTTTTATTGTGAAAAACTGCTAACATGCTTTCTAACTTTTCCTTTGTTCAGCCAATTCCAAAGACTCAGTCTGGTAGCATCTCTGCCACCAGTTAGGTGCCCCAGAAATGTTTATTTCACCCCATCTCCCAAATTAAAACAACAGAGATACCATTTATTTCAAATGTTTGCTTACATATGGTTTCTCATACTATAATGAATTTCCAAAGTATCCATTACTCACCAGAGTATATTACCTCTTAAAATATAAAATATTTCATTGACTGTTGGAGAAAAGCAGCATCACATAGGGTGGTCAAGAATTCAGCCTCGAAACAAGGCTCCACCACACAAAGACTGTAATATTGGGTGGATTTTACTTAATGTCTTTGTGTCAATTTTTCTCATTTGGGAATAATGGGCAAAATAATTCCTACCTCATAGGGTTATTATAGGAGTCCTGGTGTGGCACTGCAGTGCAAGCACTTGGCTACTAACCACAAGGCTGGCAGTTCAAGCCCACAGCCACTCCTTGGAAACCCTATACAGGGTTCTGAGTTGGAACCAATTTGGCAGCACCTAACAATAGGGTTGTTATAAGGCTGAAATTAGTTAATTCATGTAAAGAACATAAAATTGTGCCTGTTGTTTTTAAGTCCTTCTGAGTCAGTTCTGATCCATATCGACCGTATATAGGGTTTCCAAGGAGCGAATGGTGGGTTTGAACCACCAATGTTGTGGGTAGCAATCCAGTACTTACCCTACTGCATCACACATTAAATTCTCTAATATTATCTGGTCTGTTATCACTGGACATGGTAGTCGAAGGAGCTGCAGTTGCATTATCAATATTTAGAAAGATCTGAACAAGAACTTACCTAAAGAATCAAAATTCTTTTCTGGTCTCAGGTAGCCAGTGATGGCCACATTGAGGATCTCTCCATAGAAGTCCTCTTTGAAGGTATGAATGATATGAGTTTCCTACCATCAAGAAGTGTTAGAATATTAAAATGTTAGAAGACATACTTCAAATCTTTGTGTTCATGGTGAATAAATTTACATAAGGCAATCAACTCTCATTAAATTTTAAAGACTTATATTTTAACTGCAGTTATTTCCCCCCAGAATTCTTCCACCTTGATTTACATTTACAACATTACATTTACAATGTTTAAATGTAAGGGCAGGGGCAGAAACTCATTTCTGCTCTTACATTTAAATATTACCAGGAGAGATCATACAAATCTGGTATGATTTACTGTTTACAGAAAAAGTGGATAGGTACTAAAGAAGGTAGCAGCATCACGCTTATCAAAAAGAGACAGCTGAACAGACATTTAGAGTGAAGGCGCAAAATGTGAACTATTCTATTAGGGAAGGAAAAAAAAAAGGGAGTCCTGATGTGCCAATGTAGGGTAAGCACTAGACTGCTAACTGCAAGGTTAGTGGTTGAAACCCACTAGCCACTCCTAGGAAACTTTATATAGGGGTCCCTATGAGTTGGAATTGACTTGATGGAACATAACAATTAGGGGAAAAGTAGTTCTCAGGCCATTCAGGATGTACATGTCTCAGATAAACACCACGTTAACGAAATCTGTGGGGGTTAAGCAGAGCTTAAGACTGATATGAGGGCAAGACAGCCAATGTAGGTTCCTGATCAGGAAGTGATTCTGACACACAGGTATAGGACCCCACTGATGTAAAATGGTGCTGGCACCTTGCTAGTTCAGATACATCACCTGCACGTTAGTAGAATTCTGTAAACAACACATCTGAGTCAAAAGGAAGAAAAACCAGGTAGAAAACCAAACAATATAGAAATACAATAGCTGAGTTGGACTTGTTAAGTGCTGTCAAGTAGAATCCAACCCCTAAAAACCCTGTATAGGGTTTCCAAGGAACAGCTAGTGAGCTTGATCTGCTGATCTTTGAGTTCAAACATCAGGCACTTTAAACTACAGGGCCAGAGTTAAGACTAGCATCGTGGAAATGGAGGTGTTAACATTTTAGAAACATGCTACATGATATTAGAGGTATATTGTTACTAAGGGCCGTCAAGTTGATTCCGACTCAGAGCAACCCTACACAGAGTTTCCAAGGCTGTCTCTGTGGGAGCAGAAAGCTTCCTCTTCTTCTTGTGCAGCAGTTGGTGGGCTCAAGCCACTAACCCTGTGGTTCATACTCTAGTGCTCTGTAGAAAACCATTATCAAGTGATCTTAAATCTGAAATACCTATCTCCAATCAGATAAGTGGAGTCATGGTGTGATGCTGTAGGATAAGCACTGGATCTAAAGGTTGGTTTGAACCACAAGGTTGGCAGTTCAAATCCACCAGCTGCTCCTCGGAAACCCTACACAGACAGGGTCGCTATGAATGGAACCAACGTGAAGGCACTTTAACAACAGGAACAACAAATCAGATAAGCATACAGTTAAGTTATTCAAAATAGTAAACCTACAAGCAGTAAGAGCAAATTATATAAACATCTGAATCTAATAATGAAGAGTTTAGTCTCTCTTTACTAAAATGAGAAATTCACCATGTGCACTTAACTATGGTTCCAATGAGCAAAAGGAAGGAAATTTCAGACACAACTTTTAGGTTAAGGTTTTATTTTTTCTCTTAAAATCTAATCACAAGGTCAGCAGTTTGAGCCCACAGCCACTCAGTGGGGAAAAAGATGAAGCTTTCTGCTCCTGCAAAGACTTATAGCCTCAGAAACCCTATATAGGGTCACTATGAAACGGAACCAACTTGATGGCATACAACAGGGCTAAAATCACTTATGTTGTTAAGTGCCGTGGAGTCGGTTCCAACTCATAGCGACCATGTACAGGGTTTCCAAGGCTGTAAATACTGACGGGAGCAGAAAGCTTCATCTTTCTATATATTATGCTAAATTCAGGGTAAGAAGAGATTCAGGGTAGTACTGTGGTAAAGGTAGAATTCAGAATCAACAGTATGGGGTTCCACCTTTGCTAACTGCCTAGCTAGCCTATCTAAGGCTCAGAGTTTTTCATGTGCAATTGAGGGTTTGTGGTAAAAGATAGGTGATCCCCTATGGCTTTGTGACTATGAACCAACAAATGTGACTTGCATTCTTTCTTTGCAGGAAAATTTTGAATAATCAAACTGGAAACTAAGATATACAAGAAAATAACAAAGCATTATTGAGAGAATTGTAAAGATGGCTGCTTGGGCCAATAACACCTATCTTTGGGCGAGGGCTGGCCATACCAAAAAGATAAATATGCTGTGATTAGAAAGTTAAGACTAAAAGTCCAGTGATAACAATGACATTAACCCAAGGTCAGGGAGGTGAGTGGGGCTGAAGAGCAAAACAATAGATCAACCAAACAATCATGTCTATGCAATGGAATCTAAATGAAAACTCTAGAGCTAAGAGCTCTAGTAGTAAGCCTCCCTGGATGGCAACAATTGAAGGCAGGACGACAGCACATCCCTGAGGATGAAGGCTTCGTGACTGTAAGCCCCCTAGACTTCTCCTACGCATTTCTTCCCATGACTGATATTCATGAGTCCTTTCCCTATAAGTGTAACTGTACAATAGTAGTTTTGAGTGAGTTCTACAAGTCTTTCTAGCAAATCAAACACGAGGGAGGCTGTGGGGACACTGACTTGGTAGCTGACTGGTCCCAAGGAGGGCTGAGTCTGTGCAGGCTATCCAAACTCCCTGTGGACTCCTACTTTACACCATACTCAAAAACCAAATTGATGAGAGAGACAAATCAAGCTTTTAGAAGAAAATTACTGCGTTATCTTTGACTTTGGAATAGACATGGATTAAAAGCACTCAATGATCACACAAGAAAAATGACACATTTGATTACATTAAAATTTAAAACTTTACAGTGTTCAAAAGACAGAATTGTTGTTGTTAGGCTCTGTCAAGTTGGTTCCGACTCATAGTGACCCTGTGTATGGTTTTCAAGGAGTGCCACAGCCAGGCAATCTTTTTTTAAAAAAGGGAAAAAATCTTGAATAGGCACTTTGTAACTGTCTAATATTTCATTAGGAGAGAAAGGCAAAAAAATTAAAACACTGAAAAATTGTGTCTCCTATACAGGCATTCCTTAACTAGCTCTACAGTAATATTTGTTATCTGAGTGTTGTTAAGCGCTATTGAGTCAGTTCTGACTCATAGTGATCCTGTATAGTGTTTCTGAGGAGTGGCTGGTGGTTTTGAACAGCCAACCTTGCAATAAACAGTCCAGTGTTCATCCTATAGCGCCACACCATGACTCCAATACATAAGTGTCATCAAGTCAGTTCTAACTCATAGTAACCCTGTACAGGGCTTCCGAGGATGTAAATCTTTTTGGGAGCACAAAGTTTCATGGTTCTCCCAAGGAGCAGCTGGTGGGCTTGAACCGCCAAGCCTGTGGTTCATTCACAGTCTAGTACTTAGCCTTGCCCTGTATGGGTCCTGTGAAGAAAAACAAGGATAGAAGAGCACACCCTACTCAAGGTAGTATTAAAAATCAACACACAAAACACATCCCTTGTGTAAACGTGCAATTCCATCAGAAAACACCATCCCTGTAGCACGCAGTTCTAGCCTAACCAAGTCACCATGACAAATGAGTTATGTTAACTTGAAATAAATTTTATGAAAAAAGCTTTTACGTATTAATTACAATGTAGATACCACTGATGAATTCTATGTGCACCCAATACTGACTCTAACTCAGCATCTCATCTTTCACTATAGCACAGAACAAAACCCAATTCTTACCATGGACTTTTTCTTATTCTTGTAGTATGGGTTCCATCCTATGCTCATCACCATCTTATGTACATCTCCACTTTCAACACTGGCCCAACCGTAATAAATGCCAGTGGATACATCAGCTGGGAGATTGTCGACTACTTCTTCAGGAAAATTAGCTAAACAACAAAAAGAAAAATTGAGTGTCAGGAGTTTTACATTTATAAAAAATCATCACATGATTAAAGAGATTAGCTTTCTACATTTACCGAAGAGTCCCATCTTTTCAAGTTCTGGCTAGGATTTCTTTCTCCACTTCATATTGATAGGTTAAAAACAAGGTACCTGTTTACAGAGTCCTGGTGTGGTGCTGTAAGGTCGGGTTGAACCTCAAGGTTAGCGGTTCAAACTTACCAGCCGCTCCTCGGAAACCCTATACAGGAACCGACTGACAGTATTTAACAGCAAACCTTTCTAAAACACCCTACACTCTCTGGGTAAGAAAACAGGTACACAAATAGCTGAGTTTGGGGACCTGGTCTTTGACGAAGAGGTTCCAATTCACTTGAAAACATTACCTTGTAAGTCTACCAGGCAAGCACTTGACCTTCATTTAAGATCGGTTTGAACCACAAGGTCGGCGGTTCAAACTCACCAGCCACTCCTCGGAAACCCTATGCAGGGTTGCTATGAGTTAGAATCGACTCAACAGCACTTAACAATAACATTCTCAAGGTATTTGACTTAATGCATGTAACAGGTTCAGAAAAAGAGGGACTAGGACTCTTGCAACTTTTTATTCTCAAGGATGAATGAAACAGTTAGTGATTACTAAAGCTAATGTATGAGCTCTGGCAGCGTAGTGATTATGAATCGGGTTGCGAACCACAAGGTTAGCAGTTCAAAACTACCAGCTGTTCCGAGGGAGAAAAATGAGGCTTTCTGCTCCCGTAAAGATTTCCAGCCTGGAAACCCTGTACACTATGAGTCGGAACCCGCTCCACCGCACATAACCACCACCAAAGCTAATGTAAACAAACAAACAAAAAAGATACGCTTGTCTTATTCAAGACTACCGGTTTTAACACTAGGAGACGATAAAATACTGGGGTTTCTGGAGAGAACACCTTTTTAGAAGTCGGTCTGAGTATTTCGGGGCACATTACACTTCCCAACTGGCAAAACGCATGTCGTGTTTGGCAACTCTGTCCTGGTGGGACAAGGAAGCGAGAAAGCAACTCAGCACCCTCACCATGTCCAAGCCTGGTCCGGGGTGAGCTCGCAGCCAGACGCAGGACCGAAGGTCTCCCTTCAATGAAGCGGGAACCAGGGCAGGGAAAGCTGTCACCTATGCCCACAACCCGGATCGAGTCTCCTGAATGACAACTCCCCGCGTCGCGGCTCGGCCCCGCGGCTTACCTGTGGGGATGCCCAGCTGTTTGGAGCCACGGCCGAAGCCCCGGACCACCGGGCCGCGGCAGAAGTACGGCAGGGACCTCATGACGCAGCTGGGTTGGGGCGCGTCCGACGAATCCGCCGTCGAGGCAGTGCTCGGACCCCCGGACCAGCCGGGCGGGCTCACAACGGGCCGGACGAAGCCGTCTACGCGTAGTGGTGGGTCCCACACACTGCTGATCCACCCGAAACTGCCGGGCGACTCACAACCGGTATCTTGGTCTCCGGTGCTGCGGCGACGGCGGAAGTAGGTGCAGGTGTGGGCGGGGAGCGCGGCGGTACCGCGTAAGAGGGCCCCGAGCGCTCCGTAGCGTCACGGACCTGCGCACACCCCTTTGAACGAAGGCACTCCGCTAGCTCGGCTTCCGTAGCCCCACCCCCGCTGCGGCCCCGCCTCCCGCCGCTGCAGGCCTGGAACCGCTCGTTCGCTGGTCTGGGTGTTTTTGCTGCGGCTCTGCCATCTTCTGGCCGCTGGCGTGGGATGGGAACTGGGACCGGAATCTAGAGTACAGAAGTGGTGGTTGTTTTCCGTCTAGTCCGTTCCGACTCATGTTGGTGGCTGTGTGCTGGGGAGTCGGTTTCGACGCATAGCGACCCTGGATAGGGTTTCCGAGGCTGTAAATCTTCACGGGAGCAGAAAGCCTCATGTTTCTCCCGTGGAACCGCTGGTAGTTTCGAACTGCTGACCTTGAGGTTAGCAGCCCGACTTGTAACCAATACACTACCAGAGCTCCTTGTTCCGACTCCTATATAGGGTTTCCGAGGAGCGACTGGCGAGTTTGAACCACTGACCTTGCGTTTCAAACGACCAGTCCAGTGTTTACCCTACAGCGCCACACCAGGACTCCAGAGTACAATGTGGGATCTAGGAAACCCTGCTTCCGAAGACTCAAATGCTTCAGTCCCCTTCCTCCTTTTCCTGGCGCCAGAAATGAATTGTTACTTTACTTCCATGGCAACCGCCTGGCTGATGGTTATTCTTCTCTCATTAGCATAACATTAAACATTAAAGCCCCAACATCCCATCTCAAAGATGTCTTAACACAGGTTCTTCCTGAACACCCATTGGGGAAATAGCCCTCCTCCCTTCAGGCCAGGGCCTGAAGTTGTTTGAGCTCCAGGGGATCCTTTCCATTCAGGGCCATGTGACCTTTTTGGAAGTAGACTGCCAGGCTTTTCTTTGGAGGCACCTTGGTGCAGGTTCTTCCAAACGCAAGCCTTTCAATTAGTGAGCCCCGTTATCACTGGGAGAACAAAAAAGGCCTTATTTTGGCAATACAAATGCATGAGCGTCTTGCCATCCAGTGAATTTACAGGAGAGAGTAGAATTGCCCTCACAGGATTTCAAGATTAACCTTCAAGGAAGCTCACTGCCTCATATTTCTCTCTTAGGGTGACTGGTGGGTTCCAACTGCTAACTCAGACCCTGTTCTTGTTACATACGCTCCAGTTGGTTGAGACTCATAACTCTTATGGTATGTTGTTGTTGTTGTTAAGTGCCGTCGAGTCAGTTCCGACCCATAGAGACCCT